GGAAAAGCATAAACTGTCTGACACACATGGTTTTGGGCATAGGACAGAGTAATAAATACTTCAGACATCGCATGCTAAAACTTTCATTTAAAAAATTAAAAATGTTTGGTTTCTTGCTTTATCTGAAAAATGTTAGCAATCAGGTGTTGCATTTCATATGTATTATTAAACTGTTTCCAAAGCCATCTTATGATTTCATATGTATTACTAAACTTTTAAAAGCTACCTTATAATCCTCATACTCTTCCAAGGTTAAAGCTCACAGTTACATGCAAAGCATGGGAAAAACTCCTCCAAGGTCCTTTTTATTATGCAATGCATACTCTTTTTTTTTTCTTTGCAATCTTGGATGACAGAGCACAGAAATTATGTAAGATGGTCTTGATTGTACCACGCCTTCAGCCAGCCGCTCAGAGTTACCAAGTATCTCCACCATCCATCAAGAGGATTGGGCCACATGGGGCAACTCGGAGGTAGAGACCTGTTTTAACATCTAAAGAAGCTAACACCTTACCCTTCCTCACTGGCTCATCCATTCATTCATTCATTTAAGAGTTTTTTACTCAGCACATAGTCTATTCAAGGAGTCCCTGGATGGTGCAAAAGTACTTGACAACTAGTGAAAGAGTTGGTGGTCTGAAACTACCAGTTGTTGTTGTTGTTGTTATTTGCCGTCGAGTCGGCCCCAACTCATAGCGACCCCTCCTTGGGTTTCCGAGGCAGTATCACTACGGAAGTAGGATTGCCCAACCTTCCTTCTGAGGAGTGGCTGGTGGGTTTGAACCGCCAGCCTTCTGGTTAGCAGTCAAGTGCCTTAGGCACTATGCTACCAGAGCTCCTGAAACTCTAATCTTACTGGTTAGGATAACAGACTCTAATCTTACTGGTTAGGATAACAAGTAGGAAACTACCAGAGGTGCCTCAAAAGAAAGGCCTGGTAATCTATTTCTGAAAGGTCACAGCCTTGAACACCCTATGGGGCTATTCTAATCTGCACACACATGGGGTCACCAGGATTTGGAACTGACTCAACAGCAACTAACAACATTCTACGTGAGGTACTGTGGATATAGCTATAATAAGGCACATGCAAGTCTCACCCTTAACTCACGAACAATTTAGAGTACATAGAGACAAACCAGCAAGCAGAGGCAGAATGCAGAATGAACTGAATAATGGCTCTTTCTTACCAGTACCCCCCAAAATTCATCCTGTATGAATTACTTAATGCTACTCCAGACTCTAATCTTACTGGTTAGGATAACAAGTAGGAAGTGTCACTTCCTTACTTTACTTACTTTAAAAGTAAAGTTTTACTTCCTTACTTTTACTTAAAATTTAAATTATCATTATTACTTGCCTAAGGCACTTGACTGCTAACCAGAAGGCTGGTGGTTCAAACCCACCAGGCATTCCTCAGAAGGAAGATTGGGCAATCTACTTCCGTAGTGATACTGCCTTGGGAACCGAACAAGGGGTCACTATTGAGTGGGGACTGACTTGATGGCACATAAGAACACAACAACATCTATTCAAAAATCATTTAAAGATGTGGAGATGAAACAAGATAAAGAGCATGTAATCAAAGCATTAAGAAATGGGGGTGGAGTAAGAAAGAGAAAAAGCCCACACATAATCTTATTACTTAGGCTTCTAGATAGCGCTGTCCTCCTATTTCTTTCCTTGTATAAACATAACTTTAAAAAAAACGTTTTTACTGAGATGTCACATAACATGAACTTCACTGTTTAAGAGTGTGCATTTCATTGGCATTTAGTATGTTGTGCAACCATCACTACTATCTAATTCCAAAACAATTGCATCACCCGAAAAACCCTGTACCTAGTAACAGTCAGTACCATTCCATCCTTCCTCTCAACCTCTGGAAATCTTTAACTTTCAAAAATATCCTTATTTCTTAGAAGCCACTTTGCTCAAACTGACAAATACATCAAGGAAACATAATTTCAGTAATATTCTTATCTTGCTGGCGTCAAGATGATTTTTTGATCATTCTTATCACACTATAAGACTGGGAAAATAAAATTAGAGCTCCACCAATTACTAGCAAAAACCTTTTCAGTCATGTCAGTACTTGAGGTTCTAACTACAACAACTCTGGCTCATCTGTCACCTGACTTGCTCATCCGACCTGCAGAACAGAACCACTTTAGAATGAGTAACTGGCAGAGCACACCCCGCAGGCAAATGCTTATCCTCCTATTTTTAAAGGCAGATCCCCCAGTTTGACAAGGATGAGTTACTAGTAAACTCTTTAAGATTAAGTATGTATTTGTGTTTCTCTTTCTGGTTTAAAAAGCACAAAGAACATCACAAAAAATATCAAAGGGAATCACATAATTCTCATAACTTGGGAGATTTTGTCTGTAGTCCTTCGGGATGTTACCTAATTGAGTCACTTTTCTTTTCATAAATAAATAAATGAGTACTATTCTCTAAGAAAATGATCAAGAGTGGGCAGATTTTTTTGGTCAACATAAATTTGTGATGGGTATTTTTTACAATCAACTGTTAATTTTTTTTACAGTTTCCTTTGAAATTCTCAACGTCTTACTGTAGGCTCCAATCCAATGAAATGTAATCTTCACTTATGTTAAAAGCAGCATAATTTCAGCACCACATTGTGGCACAGACATTCTAAAGCACAAATAATAACCTTATACTACCAAGTTAAATGTGTTAAAAATAACCAATAACTCTTACTCCAGTATAAATGGAAATTAATGGTTGGCCTGACTGACTGCTCAGCTAAGAACAAGAAGAAAATGAGTAAATACAATTTCTTTGTTGAAATCTTCCCCATCTTAATTCTCCTTTTGACCACTTAAAGAAAATAACAAATTAAAAGAAGAAAAACTGCTCTTCATTTCCTTTTTATTCCACACTCAATATTAAGTCTAACAAAATACTGATGTGAATTGACCAAATTCATTGCAAAAAAAGAAAAAATTACATAAACTTTAATGAATGTGGTCATTTTTCTTTCTTAAACTTCTACCCTCAAATGTTACTCTGGCCATATAAAGTTTTCCACATACTCCCAAAGGAAAAAAGTTTCAGTGCCTGAGGCTCGATTGTTTTAGACATGTAAGTAACTGAGAAGGAATGTTTGTGTAACAGAGTCACAAACTCAGGAGGGGAACCACAAAGTCAAAGGGTGATGACGAGTTTTCTTCAGAGTCTATGAGTCAAATAAATGTTTACATCATATTATATATAATCCTTTCCCCCCATCCACTTTACCTGTTCTAAATTTTAGAAAATTCTTGACGTATTCTGGTGTCAAAAGCAAATAAATGACTAACTGTAACACTTTACAGGGTCCATACTTCCTTACATATGCTATTATACTATAGGCTCTCCAAACTGTTTTCTTGTTTAGATATTCGGTTAAATGAGCTAATATGTGCTAGAAAGCATTCAACCATTTTGCAGAAGAAAAGGTAAGGCCTTAACATCTATGAAGTGAATTTTCAGAACTTAGAAATTAACAGGGTTTGGAAAAGGATGATTTCAACACCTATATTCTTTCTTCTAACTTGCTGACTATTTGAGTATTATATTTAAATGGGAAAAGAAAATACACAAAAACTTTTAATATGAACATGTATTTAGATCATCACAGCTTATAGAAAACAAATCAATATTAGAGGAAAGACTTTTAATTTAGGATCTGTAACCTGGCTTTAGGAGCTCTGGTAGTGTAGTGCCTAAGGCATTTGACCGCTAACCAGAAGGCTGGCAGTTCAAACCCACCAGCCACTCCTCAGAAGGAAGGTTGGGCAATCTACTTCCATAGTGATACCACCTCGGAAACCCAAGAAGGAGTCGCTATGAATCAGGTCCGACTAGACAGTACATAACAACAACAGTCCGGCTTCAGGAAAACCCCTCCACATAAAAGAATATACATATAAAATAATTTTATTTTCTAGAGAGTCTATGGCTTTCATCAGAAATAGCTCTTCATGACAAACGAAAAATAATCAGGTTTAAAAACATTGGATCCAAAATCTTAAAGTAAAATATAACCTTTTCACGGAAAAGTTCTTAGTCTTAAGGGTGCTTTTACATATCTCATATTACACAATTAATTGCTCAGCTGAGGTAAACTTAGATATAGCCACTGCCATCAAGACGACTGAGACTCAGTGACCTCCACTGGGCTTCCAAAGTGGTAAATCTTTACAGAAGTAGATTGCCCCATCTTCCTTCTGCGGAGCAGGCTGGTGAATTTGAACCACCAATGGAGCAGCTGGTGAGTTTGAACCTTCTGGCTAACAGTTAAATGCCTCAAGCACTGCACCACCAGAGATCCTTAAACTTACCTATATCTTTATATATTAGATATTTGATATTTACTAGATTAGGGATTGGGAGCTCTGGTGGCATAGTGCTTAAGGCATTTGACTGCTAACGAGAAGCCTGGTGGTTCAAACCCACCCACTGCTTGGAGTAAGGAAGGTTGGGCAAACTACTTCCATAGTGATACTGCCTTGGAAACCCAAGGAAGGGTCACTATGAGTCAGATCTGACTCCATGGCAGTGAGTTGGGTTTGGTGTTTTTAGACTAGGGATTTAGACCCCATAATTAAAATATAAGCATTTTCCTAAACTCAAAACAAAAAGTACACATACCTCTTTTCCAAGTCTCTGATTTTCTCTCTTAATGGCTCAACAATCTAAAATAATATAATCAAAATTAGTTTTAAAACAAAAATATAGTCCTCCACCACTCTCACCCCATTGTGATATTTCAAATTGGCATGACAGATTGCAAAAGAGATTTTAATTTGTTCTATAACTCATTTCCAGTTTGAATTAATACCACATGAACCGAAATTCTACAATCTAGATGATAAATTACATGATAGAACTCTTACACAATAGACGTCTAGGTCTTTGAGAAAATATAACCTTTAGGCTTACTCATCTTACTTTAGAAGCAATGCAAAATGTGTTTCAGGCTCAAAAAAACAGGCAGATTAACACCACCTGTATCTTTTCAGGAACAAACTAATCCCCTAAGTGCCTCCCACAAAAGCTGAACATTTTGTTTCTACAATTATATCCATGTTATCAGTTGCAGCATATAAATTATGGGCTGTGAATCAAGCCATATCCATGTGTGTTAACACCTGTGAAATCTGACAGAACGAGCAAGAGCAATCAAAGGCCTTCTCTACAACTCCACCATTTGGCTTCAAGTAAAATCTTCAATACTGAATGTTCCTCCCAGAACAGCTGATGTATCTATATCTACTGACCATAATATAAGCAAATATTTTAAAATTAATGAGGTGTGTTATCAACCAGTTACAGTTGTCAAGGAGTCAAATACGTCTCAGGGAGACCTCATTTGTGTCAGAGCAGAGCTGTGCTTCATAGGATTTTCAATTGCTGGGTTTTTGGAAGTAGATTGCCACGCCTTTCTTCCGAGATATCTCTGAGTAGACTCAACCTTCCAAGCTTTCAGTTAGTAGTTACCAATAGGTACCACCCAGAGTCTCTTTAGTCAACCAGAAGGTGCTAGTTTTCAATTAGTAGGTATGACTTCCCATGTGCAGCTTTGCACACTATGATTCTTCAGTCCAAGCATCTGATTTGTGGTAATTTTTCCATTCAGCATCCACTCAGGGGAGTGGATTTTGGTACTTGCCTCCACCCTGGTAAAGATAATTACTTCCCTTTCTCTAAGGAATTCTGGAAAAGCTCACCTGCAAATTCACGTAAAAGTTTAAATCAATTTTGCCTTTAAGGTCGTAATTGCTTATCAAATGTTATAAAAGGGAAAAACAGTGACCCAGAGACCACATCTACTAGACAACAAAAACAAAGCTGATTCTTAAAACAGGGAATAATTTTTTGAGAGAGAGTTTAAAAATCCTGGCACAGCATAAAGCTGCAACAATAAAGACACTAGAAAACGCAAAGGAAGTAAAAGAGACAAATACACTGACAAACGGAAGGAATATAGACTAACCTCTTCAATCTTGCTCTCAATTTTCAGTTCACCATTTTCCTGGATAGACCTGTGGAGTAGAAAACTACAAAACTGAGATCAATGAATCGAAAGGCTTTGTGACTTCAAGATTTATTTCTGAATAAATTACTGTAACCCAAACCTAAGGTGGCAGAACATCTCCCTCTCCTCCCCAAGTATCAGTCATGTGTCCAATTCCCACCAGAGAAAACAGAAGGCCATTTGGGGGAAGGAATCTCCTCAAATCAATAATCTATGGGTATGCACAATCTTACTTAACGTATTATTTCTATTAAACTAAAATAATCTAACCTCTACCTTATACCTAACATGAAATTTTACATTAAAGACAGGAAGTATGTCTATAGGAGTAGTTTGTCTGCTGGGGTTTCCTGGGGATTTAATGCAGAATTGTGTTTTTCCAAGTAGAAATCCTTTAAATGTGATCTTAGCACCCTACCTAGCCACACACAGAAGCCTCTTTATCAAGTAAACACACACATGCCCCCATGGCAGGAATCTGATCAACAATGCCCACCCACTGTGCACAGTAGCCCAACATGAAAAGATTAGTGGGATACAGTAACTACAGGTTACCCTTGGAGCTGAGACTTTAGGGCAGAGGCATTAAAATTCCAGTCCCAACTTCTCGGCTCACAATCATGATGGTTATTCTTGCATTTTTTAATATCAAGAAACAAAAAGCAATGTGAATTTTTTTTCTACATGTAAAACTGTAATAACAGCTCCAAATTTGTTTTCACAATGAATGTGTATTACTTTTTGTCTGATTGAAATAAAGAGGTTATTTTTTGTTTGATAAACAGAAAATTAGCACTAGAATTTTACAAGTATCCCTCCTGACCTATTAAGAAGTGAAGCTAGTGCACACATGGGTCACTTCTCGGGGCTAAACCCAAGACAGATCATCTCTCCCACCTACTAGTGTGCTTCTCTAAGGACAAAGACCGCCATCTTTTCCTTAAGAAAATTGTCTTCTGAAAAAGTGTCAGAAACCCACCCTACCCTCACCCCCAGTTATGTTCTTGTTCAAACCCAAACCTACTGCCATCAAGTTGATTCTAAATCATAGAGAGCCTACAGCAGAGAAGAACCCCCCCCTTCCCATATAGTGTTTCCAAGGCTGTAAATCTTTGCAGAAGCAGACTGCTTTCTCTTTGCCCTGCAGAGTAGAAGGTAGGTTTGAACCACTGATCTTTGGTTAGCAGCCGAATGCCTTAGCCATTGCATCATCAGTGCTCTTTGTTCTTGCTCAAGCTACCCAGAAATGTGATTCACATCTTCGTAGTGGAAAAAGTCACTGTTGAACCTCTTTGGACAATACAGAGGAGCAGATCATTGCTGCATCAAGACTGATCTTACTTGTATATGAGCTTTACTTAGATAACCATTAAAATCAGGTGCATTGTCAAGAGATTCAAGGATATTACAAACAGCCCAGATGTGCACTGAACGGCAAAAAATGTCAGTTTCATTTAAAAATACTCTTCTTCCAACCTATGACACATCAATGGTACATATGTAACAATTTCAGTATCTATCTTAGTAAAAAAGGAAAATAATTACCTCATATTAACCAAGTTGCCCCAAACAGCTGTAAGAGGGGGAAAAAAAGGCAATGTTTAAGTTAACAACATTCAGAAATTCCAATGGAAACAATTTTAATCTTTACAATTTTAAACAATATTTTAAAGTTCACTAAGAAAATTAATATACCATGGGTGACCCTTCTGGTATTTGAAACACCAGTGGCATAACTTCTAGCGTAATAGCAACATGCAATTCACCACAGTATGACAAACTGATAGATGGTAAAGAAAAGATTGAAATTGACAAGGATTTGACAAAATAGTGTGCTTATCTTACTTTTGAAAATGAAGGGAAAACATTTTTAAAGCCCTGCTAAAACTCCATGTCCCGTTATTCACTGTCTGTCTCTTCATGGACAATGTACTGAGTTCCTTTAACTGTGAACATCAGTCAGTCCTTAAAACTCACTGATATCACGCATTACTGCCCTAACATCCCCAAAACAGAGCCCATAAAGATCACCGAGGCGCCAAGTGTTGCCAAAACCAGTAAGTATTGCCTTTATCTGTGTTGCCTCAAATAAATATACTGTCTCATCTTGGTTTGCAAATAAGCTGCTTGTCAAAACAGACCAAGAAAAAGTTCATCTTTTTCTATGCTATGGCCATTCACTCCTTAAAGTGTTTTCTGAATGGATAATGTCTTTTAACAACTTCTTCAAATCATTCTATTGTTATTAGTTTATTCACTTTTTGATTTTGATTTTGGTTTTGGTTTTGTGTGTGTTTTTCACCTTGAGTCAATATATAACATGTATTTTTGGAGACACGTCTCAATCCTTGTATTTTATCACTTAGACATTCCAGACCATCTAAGGTTGACTCTCTTGCTTGATACTCCTTCCTTGAATTACAAGACATCATAAACTCATGGGTTTCTGTTCCCTTTTCCCACTGATCCACCCTCAGAAAGCTGGTGAGGGTCAGTGTGCTCAAGGGGTCTGTTTCTAGTCCTCCTTCCCAGGAATACTGTCCACATCCACAGTATTCCCATCCTTTACAAATGGATAATTCCCAAATCTATATCTACTATTGCCCTGAACTCCAAACCATATATCGTCAATTGCCCCTCCCCACTTGGAACATTATAGATAACAAAGAAAAGAACAGTAATTCCCGAACATTTAATTGTGCTTATGAGGAACCTGTACATAGAACAAGAGGCAGCTGTTCGAACAGGGGAATACTGCATGATTCAAAATCAGGAGAAGTGTACATCAGGATAATATCCTTTCACCATACTTATTCAATCTGTATGCTGACCAAATAATCTGAGAAGTTGGACTATATGAAGAAGAACATAGTATCAGGATTGGAGAAAGCCCCGCCAGCAACTGTAATATGCAAATGACACAACCTTGCTTGCTGAAAGTGAAGATGACATGAAGCACTTATTGATGAAGATAAGAGACTACAGTCTTCAGTATGGATTGCACCTCAACATAAGAAAAACAAAAATCCTCATAACTGGACCAATAAGCAGCATCATGATAAACAGAGAAAAGACTAAAGTTGTCAAGGATTTCATTTTACTTGGGTCCACAATTCTACTTCCATGGGCATTGTCAAGAAGTCAAATGACATATTGCACCAGACAAATCTGCTGGAAAAGAGCTCTTTAAAGTGATAAAGAAGAGAAATGTCAATCTGAAGACTAAGGTGCACTTGACCCAAGCCATGGTATTTTTTTTAATAGCATCACATGCATGTGAAAGCTGGACAATAAGTAAGGAAGACCACAGAAGAATTGATGCTTCTGAGCTGTGGTGGTAGCGAAGAATACTGAATACACCATGGTCTGCCAGAAGAACTAACAAATCTGTCCTGGACGAAGGGCACCCAGAATGCTCCTTGGAAGTGAGAATGGCCCGACATTGTCTCACCTACTTTGGTCATGTTGTCAAAAGGCACCAATCCCTGGAGAAGTTATCATGCTTGGTAAAGTGGAGGGTCGGCAAAAAAGAAGAAGACCCTCAACAAGATGGATTGACAAAGTGGCTGCAATAATGGGATCAGGCATAGCAACACCTGTGAGGATGGCACAGAACCAAGCAGTATTTTGTTCTGTTATACATAAGGTTGCTATGAATCAAAACCCACTCGATGGCACCTTACAGCAATAACCTGGAAAATGCACCCTTCTTCCCAGCTTCTCTTCACTGTTCACCCAGGAAAGACAGAGAACTTCATGAATCTCCTCCCCTTAATACATCAGTGTGACCACCATATCCCTCTTCACTCACCAGTCCTCCACAATAATCCCTCTGCCTCCCTCCCTCTATACATCCCTCTCCTTGGCAATATCTACTTGGCCTAAACCATTCCCATTATCCCCAAAACCTTGTGCTCTCTTACATCCCCAGCTCCAGTCTGTCTGCAGATTTTTTCCCTGCCAGGAGAGCACCCACACCTTGCATTCTCACATATTTTCAAAAATCACCTAGAGCACCCCATTCTCTGGACTCATAATGACCTTATGTTAAGAGCCAAACAAGAGACAGGCATATGAGGTAAACATTTACCCAAGGTAGGTGCACGCCTAACAATTAACCAGGGGAGATCAGAAAAGCAGTATTTACACAGGGAGATAGCTCAGAGGGCAGGAATGCATAGGAAAGAAGGACACAGGGAAAAGGTAACCACATGAAGGAACTGGGAAGAGAGCTGTTACATTATGGGGATTGCAATCAATGTCATGAAACAAAACGTGTATGGACTGCTGTATGGAAAACAAAACTGTTCTGTAAACTTTCACCCATATCTCAATTGGGGGGGGGGGAACCTAACTGCAGGGATATAATTTTTTAAAAAATGACAAGTTTCTACTGAAATACTGCCAAAAAAAAGAAAAGTTTCTATATGCTTAGCTTTGGAGTGTGAAAAGGAACTGGACACTCAGCATAGATCAGAGAACTGACACCGCAAGAAGCAGAACAAAGCCCCTGCATTGCTGACAGAGTATTTCTAGAGGAAGAAACTCATAGATTTCCAACAATTCTTGAGCCTTGTGCCAGCAGTTTCATGATTACCTAGACAATAGCACTACAAGGCACAGATTTTAAAAATTAACATTATATAAACTTAGTGTTGCATTTAAAAATTTGCAAATTGCTTGAGTTAACCTGACTCACCTTATAGTATCTCAAAAGGATAGGTGAGACTCTATAAATATTTAAACTGAATTATATCCATTGAATTATATCCATTACATATAATACAATGGTTCAGTATTAAGAAAAGTTAGTATAAAAGAAAAAAAGATAATTATTCACTGTTACTTACAAGGGATTTAAAACCAAATTCCCTTAAACAATTTTACCAATATTTTCATTTTTAATTTAAATTGTTTAAATACTTGATGGAAATTGAGGCACACCAGTTTCACAATTTTCATCCTGTCTGTATCTAGACTTCATGGTTTTGCTAGACAGCAAAACCCAGCTGAATAAAATAATTACATATAAATATTCATTTGCTGTTGTTGTTAGGTGCTGTAGAGTCATCTCCGACTCATAGCTACCCTATGCACAACAGAACGAGAAACACTGCCCAGTCCTGTGCCAGCCTCACGATCCCCACTATACCTGAGCTCATCATTGTAGCCACTGTGTCAATCCATCTCATTGACAGCCTTCCTATTTTTCGTTGACCCTCCACTTTACCAAGCATGATACCTTTCTCCAGAGATTAGTCCCTAAACATGACCAAAGTAAGTGAGACAAAGTCTGGTCATTCTTGCTTCCCAACAGCATTTTGGCTGCATTTCCTCCAGGCCAGATTTGGTAGTACCTTCAGTATTCTTCTGCAATGCCACAATTCAAAAGCATCAACTCTTCTTCAGTCTTCCTTATTCATTGTCCACTTCTCACATGCATATGAGGTGACTGAAAATATCATGGCTTGTGTCAGGTGCACCTTAGTCTTTAAGGAGACATCTTTGCTCTTCAGCACTTTAAAGAGGTCTTTTATTAGCAGATTTGCCCAGTGTAATACATTGTCTGATGTCCTGACTGCTGCTTCCATTGGCACTGAGTGATATGAAGTCTTTGACAACTTCAATCTTTTCTCCATTTATCGTGTTGCTGCTTATTGGTCCAGTTGTGAGGATTTTTGTTATACTGAGGTGTAATCCATATTGCAGACTATAGTCTTCAGTCTTCATCAGTAAGTGCTTCAAATCATCCTCACTTTTAGCGAGCAAAGTTGTGTCATTTGTATATCACAGGTTGTTAATGTGTCTTCCTCCAATCTTGATACCACATTCTTCTTCATATAGTCCAGCTTCTCTGATTATCTCTCAGTGTACAGATCAAATAAGTATGTTGAAAGGATTCAACCTTGACATGCTCGCATCTTGATTTTAAACCATGCAGTATCTCCTTGGTTCTGTTAGAACAATGGCTTCCTGGTCTATGTACAGGTTCCTTATGAGTACAATTAAGTGTTCAAATGTTCACTTAGGGCAAAGAATTGAGTAATATTAACAGTAAGATAAAAAAAAAAAGTGCCCTTTTCCAACAAAGAAAAAACATTAAAACACTAACCAAATATTTCCATAGCCTCTATTAATATACCATGGTTTCTTAAATACTTACCAGCTATCACTTGAGAAACACAACAAAAAAAGCATTTACTTGAAGCACTTACTGATGAAAATTAAAGACTATTGTCTGCAGTAAGGATTACACCTCAATATAAGGAAAACAAAACTCCTCAAAACTGGACCAATAAGCAGCATCACGAAAAGACTTAAGTTGTCAAAGATTTCGTAGTTCTTGGTTCCACAATCAACACCAACAGAAGCAGCAGTCAGGACATTCAGATGATGTTTTGCACTGGGCAAATCTGCTGCAAAAGACCTCTTTAAAGTCCTGAAGAGCAAAGATGTCTCTCTGAGGACTAAGGTGTGCCTAATCACCTTTCCATCACCTCATACACATGTGAAAGTTGGACAATGAATAAGGAAGGCTGAAGAAGAGCTGATGCTTTTGAGTTGTGGTGTTGG